GACAAGGCGAAGCCCGCCATTGAAAGTATAAGAGGCTTAAACTTGGCGGAGGTCAGACATACAACCGTTCAAGTGACTAGACTGCCGTGGTAGCGAATAATACTGGAAATAGGACGTAATCAGCTGTACTGAGCCTGGACTGACAGAGGCCTTGTATATATTGTACATAAAAGTAAGAAATAAGTGTGTATTGTAAATTATTTAAATACAGACAGTAGACATATTAATACACACTGACTGACTGACAAATGACAGACCCGACCTCTCATCAGAGAGGGTGCCCCACATAGACAAGACAGTAACTTTCATTCAAAAGAAATATCTGGGGCTCGACACCAAGACAGACAGACTGACTGACCGTCACTTGCAACATGACTCTGACTCTGACCAGCAGCAGCAGTCTACAAACAGTCTTCATTCAGTCTTCACTCAGTCAACATCAACCAGCACACTTCATCCTCAGCGCCCGGTCTTCGGAGTCTTCGGCTCTGCGCTGCGCCAGGAATGGCCGCCTCGACTCTCCGACGGCATGCCCGATTCACTGGGCTGCCTCAGCTCTCTGCCGGTGATGCCCGAATCACTGGGCAACTGGCGTAGCTACCGCCTCTCCATTCCAGCAACCGCGCTCCACATCCAGATGCATTCAGTCAGCAGCAGTGACCACCAGCCAGTCTGCTATCACACTTCGTACAGAGCGCTCAGTCTTCAGAGGCATCGGCACTTCGCTGCGTCAGGCACGGCTGCCTCAACTCTCCGACGGCACACACAACTCACTGGGCAACTCGGCTGCCTCGACTCGCCGGCGGTCATGCCTGACCCACTGGGCAAGTGGCGTACCTACGGCCTCTCCACTCCTGCGACCGCGCTCCATAAGCAGACGTCTTCCAGTAACCAGGCAACTCCTGGCAAAGGGCGCACTGCAACCAGGCCACTGCCTCAGCTGCCGCAACCAACATCTCTTTCTACCGGCGTATGTAGCGCTACTTCACCAGCCAAACATCCCAGCAGCCAACGGTCCTTTTCAGGACCTACAAACTTTCCGAAGAAGTGGGTTGTCTTTGGAGTAACGACAAACCCCACATTCCTATTCATCACCGTTAGTATGTGTGAGATTTGTATCATATATTGTGACGTGGATGGCGTAGCGGGAGGTGGTGGTCGCGTGAATTCTGTTATCTCGCGAGCGACGTCACATACCCCCACTCCGTCCATCAGAGTGCAAAGCTTGGTAGACACCCCTTTCCCCGCTGTGACGTAATACGGGACGCCGCAGTTGCTACATAGCCGTAAACAACTCCCGGCAGCGCTGCCCAGCAACGCCTTTGTAAACACGGCTGGGAGTCTGTGCAAATACTGTTCCTAGGCAGTCGGTAAACACGACATTACAAAACAGTGGTGCCTATTATATAACTGTTTTCTGTGTTGTCCGTAACGGGGGCTAAATAAGGAGCAGCGAATCTATTCAACAGTGAGTTACGATTTAGCCAGGGAGTCAACAGTCAGTCAATCAATCAGTCAGTCAGTGTGTGAACAGGAGTGACATAGTGCGGATGGAACAGTCGCCGAGTTCAGTTGTAGTGGAAAGAAGAATAACGGAACGTGTGATTAGAAGTGATAGTGTGAGAAGCAGATGCTTGGCTCACAAGAGAAGTAATTGGGAGTGTGTGATAGAGTGACACTTGTATAGCTCCCGTATCGTACTGTGAATACGTGTAGACTACTGAAGATAGAGTGAATAGAATATTGTGTAGGATTTGTAAATTGTGGAAACCCATAACAGTCTTATGATTAATTGTAACCAAGACATGTAGGTTGTTGAATAAACCAATTAACAATCCGAACGGCGTCTTCAGTGGCAAAACACGTTACAATATCATATCATATCATATCTTTATTGCATTCAAAGATCAATCATTGGTACAAGACCACAAGATATAAAACTTGTCACAGAATATACTACGTGTATCAAGCAGAACGACATACATTTCATAATATGTGCAACAAGCGATCATAAAATAAATGTTGTCACTTACGTATGCAATAGTTTTAATTAAAATAAATCTACAAGAACATAAAACCAAATACAGAATTATATAATAAAACAGTATACCAAAACAACTCAGCGAATGGTTTAAAACAGTGGTTCTCAAACTGTGGGGCGCGACCGCCAGGAGGGGCGCAGCACACTTTCCTACAGATACAAATTAAAACTGCCCTAAATCAATTAGAAAAGTAACAAAAAATAAAAATACATATAGAAAATCTTGATGAGTACAGGCTTTAATTATCATGAATTTAAAAATAGCTAATAATTAGTCTCTTCACCGGCAATCATAAAAAGTGTATGCCAGAGACAGCGTTGATAGTTTGGCAGCAGCCGCATCCTCTTCCAGGCAGCACTGTACACGCGCAGCTGAAAGCAGTGACTTATGTCATTTCATTGGCGCCTGTTGTGCAGGGAGAAGGCAGTTTGTCGCCAGACTCAATGGTTATCGACGGGTATGCCTGTTTGATGTTGTTTTCTTATGCATTCAACGTTGAGTGCAGTTGTGCTGATTTGTTTACCTCTTGAATTTGACTTGATTATGAGCAATTGATCATGAAGCATTTCCTGATTAGTGATAGAAATGAAAACACCAGTGCTCCTTCAACTAGTGGTGGGATAGAAGCTACTCGGAGTATGAAAACGAGAAGGTATGATGAGAACTATTTATCTGTAGGCTTTACGAAAACTGTGATCAATGATGAAGAACGTCCGCATTTAGTAATCTGTCTTAAGTATTTTAACTGCAGATAGTATGAAACCTAATAAATTAAAAGAGACATCTTGAAACCAAACACCCGAAGTTTACAAATAAACCAAAAGATTTTTTTTGTTAGAAAGCTTAGTGGTTTGAAATCCACCCAACAGAAATTTGCTAAAACAACAAATGTGACAAAACACGTAAGAGTCTTTCAGACTCTTACCAGGTTTCTCATAGAATTGCTAATTGCAAGAAAACACACACAATTGCAGATACACTGATTTTACCAGCAGTAATTGACATAGTAACAACAATGTTGGGTGTTTTCCAGTGTTCTGTCAATCTTTGTTTTCTCAAAATCCAATGTCTTTTTTTTTTTTCTGATATAGCTGTTTTCATTTCACCTTTTAGGGCCTCGACCTTCTCTATAGCATGTGCCAGTTCTTTTTCCATATTTGAGGTCTCTTTTTGTGACATGGCTGTTGGCAATTCAGTTTTTAGGGCCACGACCTTTTCCAAAGCACGTGACAGTTCTTCCTCCATCTCTGCTTTATCCAAGTCTGAGGTACATTTTTATGTGGATTTTTTCAATTCACATTTTTGATCCTCAACCTTTCCCATAGGATATGTCAGTTGTTTGCCCATTTCTTCTTTCTTCAAATCTGAGATCTCTTTTCATGATTAGGCTGTTTGCAATTCAGTTTTTAGGGCCTCAGCCTTCTCAAAAGCACGTGACAGTTCTTTCCCCATCTCTGCTCTCTCCAAGTCTGAGGTATGTTTCTGTGATGTGGTTTCTTCTTCCTGTCTCTTCAAGTCTCTTTTATATTTTATTTTTCCTGAAGGATCCAGCTGTCAGTTCGTCTGTTAGTACTGCCAAGTTATTTAGTTCCAGCCAAGGTATTGTGGTCTGTGTTTCCGTATTGACTGTAGCCATTTTTTTTGTGGACAATTCTTCCATAGCATTTTCCATTCTTCCTTCAATCTTCGTTTTCTCAAAATCCGATGTCTTTTTTTCTGATGTAGCTGCTTTCAGTTCACATTTTAGAGCCTCAACCTTTTCCATAGAATATGTCAGTTGTTTGCTCATTTCTTCCTTCTCCAAATCTGAGGTCTCTCTTTGTGATTTGGCTGTTTGCAGTTCACTTTTTAGGGCCTCAACCTTTTCCAAAGCACGTGACAGTTTTTTCTCCATCTCTGCTCTCTCCAAGTCTGAGGTCTCTTTTTGTGATGTAGCTGTCATCAAATCACATTTTAGGGCCTTAACCATTTGTGTAGCATGTGCCAGCTCTTTCCCTATTTCTTCTTTCTCCATATCTGAAGTCTCCTTTTGTGATATGGCTGTTCTCAATTCAATTTTTAGGGACTCAACCTCTTCCAAAGCACGTGCCAGTTCTATCCCAATTTCTTCCTTCTCCGTGTCTGATGTCTCTTTGTGTGCTGTAGCTGCACTCATTTCACTATCCCGGGCCCCTGTCAACCATCTCCACCATTTCCAACGTTTGAAGCTCTTTATAATCGTTGCTAATAACCCCAACATAGTGCTGCTTAAAACTGTGGACGCCTGACTGAGATTTTCCTGTATTGCATCTACTTTTGTAGCTGCTTCTAACACTGTAGACTGCTTCTGTAGCCGTGCTGAAAAGCTGCTGTCCCCTCTGTGTATCTTCTTATATAACCTAGAGTCGGACCTATAGAAAATTTGTCACTGTTCCTATTGTTTTAGTCTTTTTGAATTGAATTGAATTTATTTACATTCTATAGATCCTAAGTAGGTTAGTACCTTTGGATACAGAACAAGTCAAAAGATTACATACATAAGTACAGGCAATTTTAGCTTAAAAATTAATATAACTTAATTTTACATCATTCTCTATTTACATTGAAGTATTCATCTAAAGAGTAGAAGGAATGAGCATGTAGATAATTCTTTAACTCTGATTTAAACTTTTTAGTATCATTGCCCAAGTTTTTAATACTTTGTGGCAGATTGTTGAACACTTTTATGCCAGTAAAGTAGACTCCTTTTTGATATACTGATAAAGTTGATAAGGGTAGGTGAAGTTATATTTTTGTCTAGTATTCATGTTATAGACATCAGAATTTAATTTGAATTTATCTTTGTTGTAAGACTTTGTTGTAAATTAAGACCAAGGAACCTTACATTACAATTTTACCCACTTAAAATTTAACAAAAGGGCATAAAAAATTGAAAAGCATCTTTTTTTAGCAGTATCTATCATTAAAAACTAGCACTGTTGGCAGTTCTTGAATTACATGTGGCTGGCATGTTTACTATAATTTGCATAAAAGTTTGCAAAAAAAAAAAATATGGAACATAACACACGAACAGTGTAGTTAGTTTCAACTTACATCTAAACGGTGTGGGATTTATCAAATCAAGTACTAAACATTGTAATTATAAAATTATAATTATAATTATTCCCAAAGATATTTATGGGGGTCTGTCAGCCATGTCAGCCATGATAGTAAAACAAAACTGCGCGTGGTAAAACAAGTCTAAGAGAACGAACATGGTTACCAATTAATTCAAATCACAGAATATTTGGTTACAGATTAATTTTTGAAGATAAACAAGATTTCGATTTGAGGTTTTCACCGCACGGCGGTGACTACTGGGGGTTGTAACGCCGTATAGTATGGAGCCGTACGGTCTGTTCTAGCAATTTCGGAGGCACCTTTCAACAGACTCTCTTTTTCCTGTTGCTCCAACTTTGGAGCATATGGCATCCGTGAATTCTTACTCCTTAGAGCTCATTATCTCCTTAGACAGTCGGTAGGGTCGGTAGGTGTCCTTGTCTGGGGGCAGGAAAGCTTTGATCATAGAAATGTCTCGTGTTTGGAAAACAGAAACTGCCCACATTCAAGAAAATGTGACAAGGATAGTATGTTTGCCTAGCAACGGCGAGTAAATAGCTGTTGCTAGGCAAAGCGAGTAAACACATGTTGCTACGCAAAGCGAGTAAACAGATCTTGAAAGGCAGATCGAGTAAACGGCTGTTGCTAGGCAACACTCCTTCACTCCTGTGAAGGACGTGTTGAGTGGTAGTGTGCGAAACTGAGAGCTCCTTAGTTTAAGTACAAAAGAGCAGTTTAGTTCGGTCAGTAGTAAAAATAAGTGTTTATCTTCTTTAATAAGTGTACTATAGTGAACCTTATATTTAAATAATTTTCTATACTGAACGTTTTCTTCCTTTTTATACTTACTCTTAAGCCACGCTTAGCTCCTAGGCCATTTTCCGCCATATTGTGAGCTATTAGTATCTGATCTTCCGCTCAACGCTTCTAAACTGCATTTTCTTAACTTAACTTTCAGTTAATATAGAATAGTAGTAGAATTAGTAAACATACTTGTTATTTTATATCTTAAATACGGTGATTTGTATTTTCATAAGTGTACTGGTAGGCCTAACCTACAAGTAGTGTGTTACTTTGTCTTAAGGTAGCTGATTTGTATTTTCGTAAGTATACAGTAGGCCTAACCTACGGGGAGTGTGTTATTTTATATCTTAAGGAAGTCGATTTGTATTTTCACAAGTGTTATTTATATCTTACATAAGTTGTTTGTATTTTCGTAAGTGTACAGTAGGCCTAACCTACAAGAAGTGTGTTATTTTATATCTTTAGTAAGTTGATTTGTTCTATTGCAAGTGTACCAGTGGGCCTAACCTAAAATAAGTGTATCATTGTATATAGTGGGCCTTAAAAGATTTGTGCCAGCATATACTCTTGTAAGTTCTAATCACAAATTAGACTCT